GCAGATTTTTTTAAAAAGTACTTTGGAAATTTGAGACTACGAATGGCCACTTAAAGTAATTTTTTGTCTTAGGTAATGGTATGGGCAGCTATAACTGCCGATAGACGCTTTCCAATCGTTTTCATCAAGCCTGGTGTCAAAGTCAATGTTACTAATTATCGAGGAAATGGTTTGAAAGTTGCTTTAGAGCCGTTGGCACGTAAACATTTCGTTCGTAATCCATCGATGTTTCAAAAAGACTCTACACCATCTCATAAAGCTTGTGTGAACCAAGAATGTTTAAAAAACCATGTTCCACACTTTATTTCGTCCATGTAATGGTTTTCGAATGCGTCAGATGCAAATTCGATAAGGTATGCCATCTGGGCCATTTTGGAGAGCAAAATGAAGCCTAAAAAAATATGCCAGTGTGGATGCGCTGAAGAAAGCGATTGTTCAGTAATGGGACAAAATAGCGGAAGATCACATTTGTGAGGCACGCTACTCATTTTTTAACCTTTTGAAGGTCATAGTCAAGGCAGAAGGGGGCTAGCTCGAGCTAGAGTGAATGGATTCGAAAATTTTGATTATTTTCACAAATTTTTGTGATTTAAATCAATAAAAAATAATTTCACATAAAATGGATATGATCATTTGAATAGGTAACACTTCAATTGGTAACACTATACAAAAAACCTTGTATAAGTATAATATAAGAATATTACTACTTAGTAGACAATTTGGCTTATAACAAGGAAAACGTAACACATTTTAGTAATAGTCATAGTTTTAATACATATTCTAAACTAATATTCCTATGAATATTATTCATAATAATAATAATATTGTTTCTTCAATGTTATGTTTTTAGAATAGGAATAAAAAATAATTCTCATTGAATTTAACCAACTATGACATTTTCCAGTGCAAACTATTCATTAGTTAATTATCTTACATTTTACATTCATCATATCAGGCAAATATATTTGAAGCTTTAAGGTTTTTTATTGCTTCATATGTTTTAGGTTAGGTTTGGTTCGGAAGGCGCGTGCTGACCGTTGTCAGCACTTCTACTCGGAGGCGTATATTGGCCATTGTGATGCCCTCAAAATTTTTGTCGGGAGAAGCGAACTGCTAACCTTTGTAATCCTTGTTAAACCATTTGGTTTTCCGGATGAAGTTGAGGAGATCCGATAAGTTTGCTTTCTTTATGTCTTCCAAGTCAGTGAAAGACCGATCCCCGAGACATTAAAGTCACTTTGTCTAAAGTCCTGGACAGAGACATATGTTTTAGTAGAAGACATTTTTAAGACTCTATTTTCTAGTTTATTGTACCTAGTAGATAGAGTTTAAATCAATATCAAGAAAGTACATGTCCAGGACATCAGCATAGGGATTGTATTAGGCATTTCAATTGTCGTCCGTGTTAGATTAAAAATCTACTTACAAGGATAGCATAATAAACCTTACAATGAGTTCACAATAGAACTCTTGCAGCGTGCAATTGTCCTTTTTAATACTAAAGGTATAAATATATCACTGTCAAAACTTATTGACAACACAGTTTAACAATGATGATGCATCTAAAAAAATTTATTTAAACCCTTAATGGAAAAAAATTACAGTTATTTATTAAATCAACCAAAAAAAAATATTTTGAATTATATAAAAGACTCTCGGGACACTGATATGATAAAAAGGCACTGACTCCGAGCTTTAAATTTGGCAGGGCACGAGTTCAACCCTTAGTACCTGTAATCTCAAAACATTAATATATAAGAAATAATTTCAAAACCACTGATGATAGGTATTCAATATCAATTAAAATAATAAAATTTATTTTTTTAAAATATCAATTAAATAATGAATGAAAAAAATTTTGTTGTTGTGTTTTACTACTGTTTAAAATATTTCTCTATTAAAACAAGAGTTTCGATTGAGAAAGATGGTTTCTTTCTTCATAAGTATCTTTAAAAAAATCATATTTGATATAAAAGATGGTGCAACAATTTTTTTTTGTAAGGAATTATATTAGAAAATTAAGGACAACTACTTCTAATCAATAGTAGAAACATATATCTTTCTTAGACATTTAAGGCATTTAGACAGAAACAAGTAAAACGTTGTTGAAGGATTAAAATTCTTACAACAAATTTTTTACAAATTAATTTGAAGACATTAAATTTCATTACATTTATATGAAATTGAATTTTTAACCTTTTTCATTTACTGTTTGATTAAATTTTTTAATACCCGGCAAACTACAAATTCTCTTAACTAGAAACATATTTTAAAATTGCCATTCGATGGTTTTTATATGAACTTTACTAGATTTTAATTGTATTTAATGTGTGGGTGAAGTCATAAAGGACTTAACTGCGGAAATCATGAAAACTTTTTTGCTCAGCACTCTGTACTCTGTAAGTTTTTTATTTCTGGTAATTGGTAACTGAAATTGTTGCATAGTATCGATTCCAAGAACTTTAATCAACATTTTTATGCTCTTTTGTATGTCAGAAATAAATTAAAAACGATCATAAAAATTCTGATTAAATTTCAGTAGAAAATAATAAACGAGAATTTTTTTTTGCAGATACTGGAAGCTAAAAGTAGTAATTGGAAAAATGTTTATTTTATTTATTTATCTATAAGAAAATGTACTAAATTTTCTTTTATTACTTTTCATTTTATTAGCTTTTACTTGTCAATTTTATTTATTTAATCAATTTTATAATTTTTTTAATGTTAGCTGTTACAGGCAATTATTGTTTATATAAAAATCAAGAGTTAACTAAAAGTTAATGATAATAAATTGTATAGTTTTCGTTAAAGAAAGTACTTATGCTAAAAAAATTAACAGCAATTTAGTTTTTTAAATTAAAATTTTAAAATCAAATTTTTAATTACTCTTACGGACCTATTCTGTGCACTTTATAAACTTGTCAAACATTGACACTTGTCAAAATTGACTGCTGTAAAGGTTTTGTTATTCTGTGATATAAATAAAAAGCTCTTTTCCTTGTTAGTTGTCAATACTACAAATGCTGTTGACAACTTTAAAAATATGCTCTTTTTAAGCATTTTTTATTTTTTGCATGCATGACAAATATTCTTAACTAAAATATACGCTCTTTACAAGCATATTTTTTATTATTATTTGAATGCATGGAAAAGGCTTTTGGCAACTTAAAATATGTGCTCTTTTAAAGCATTTTTTACGAACAGTTACGAACAATTACGAACAGTTTTCTATACAAAACACTTTACACCATAGTGTGGTGAGAAGCACTAGGTACTTGAGCTTTGAAATTTGTCAAGAAGTGTCCAGAATACCGAAAAGCTTTCTGCTTTATAAAAATCAAAAATTTTATTAAAGAATTTGACAAATCTGTCAAGTGCACAGAACAGGTCCGTTAGAATAAATTCATTTTTTTTCTTTTAGCAAAGAAAAAAATTGAGCAAAGTGTAGTGCGAGAATATTCTTTGCTAAATAAGGTTGGAGATACATAAATACGTAGTCACGTGTACATTGCAGTCCTTAAAAGCAACTAGTGACAATACATATTAAGATGTGTTTTCCGAGTTTTACGAGAAAGTTCAATTCAAAATTAACGACAACATTCAGCGTCTTTAAACTGATAGATGCAAGGAATTTGGACCAGTTTTCAGAAGAGCTGAACAAACATAGAATATGCTCTAAAATTTGCATTATTCCCGGCTTCTTACCAGCAATCATCACTATTTACTTTTTGCGCCTATGCCACAACGCGAAATCTCTTAATAAAACACTAACTTATGTCCTGCAGTTCTTTCGATCAAACGACAACATAAAATTGGTGTATCCTTCATCGAATCTGTGTTTACACATGATAACAACCATTTTACAGACACTTAAGCCACGCTATCTTTTGTTCAGCTTTTTCAGCAGGTGTTTGTCTAGTTTTCTATATATATTGCGTAGAGGCGTAAGTACCTCTCTTATTAGCCTCTCTGCAACTTCAGTACCAGTTTTATCAATATCGTCAACCATTTTATTTTCCTCTATGCGTTTATGGCCAGGAACCCAATATACATGCAGCTCATTTCAGTAGGTCAATTTATTTCTTATCTTCCTGCACTGCTCAACATTCTTGGAATATAGCAAGTGTAATGATATTGCTTTAATTGCCGATTAGCTGCCTACAAAGAAGTTTAGATTCCACTTTGTTCTTTTCTAACAACAAATACTTCTGCCTAAAACATATAACAGTATTGAAGGAGTTTATACAAAGTTCAGTATACCGAGCTGAGTTCAGTACAGAAGACACTGATTTCAATTTCAAACAAAGGTAATGAATATATATATCGAAGTGGTAGGGGTTAGGTAAATCTGCGTATTCAAAAGCAATGCTATGGTAAGCTGTTTTAAGTAAAAGAAGTTGTTAATAACTTTGTGGTAATGCAAGTGAAAGACATCTAAAAACTGCTTTAAAACTAATAATTGTCATAATAACTCATAAAATGGTTTTGGATCTTGAAATAACCGATAGAGAATGTGATAGATAGAATGATAAAATGCTGAATTTTTTTATGTGACTCAGTTTTGTCCATTATATGTATTATTCGAAATGCACTCAACTCTTTGTCTCTGAACTGACTTTTAAATAAAATCGTTTATTCGTGGGAATGAAGTACTTTATTATCAAATGAACGAATAGTTGCGGTAGAAAGATGTTTTGCTGACATTTCAGAAATTATTACAGAAATGGTATTAATAAATTACAGAATCATTAGAATATTGTAAAATTTTTTCACATATATGAAGGGTATAATAAAATTCACAAAATCGATTTACACCGACAATAAAGAATTGCTTTAAAATTAACATTATTCTTAAGAACAAAATTAATATATTTGTAATTTCACTATAGTCATTGGAAAAAAACCCATTCATATACCATCATTAAAAAACATTATTTCGCCCAAATAGAAAATTATATCTAAAAGTATAAATATAATAAGAAATTTGTTTAATCACTTACCTTCATCACTTGTGCTTGACTTGATGATGTCCTCCTCTGACTTTGATTCCACGACACCGATAACCTCAATGGCACTCTTAACCGAATCAACTGATGATGAAGTTGACATAACTGTTGGCGTTGTTTGTCCCTCTGACATGGATTGCGACTGTTGTGACTGTGAATTTTGCTTTTGTATTTCAGTGGGTAAATTGATGGTCTCCAAATGCAACTCATTGCCCATTTGCATATTAGCATAGCTACTATCACTGTTGCTATTGCTATTGCTACTGTTATTGTTGTTGTTGGTGTTAGCATTGTCATTGAATTCTGCCGACAACGAACTAGAAACCACATTTGGCATATATTTTGGTGAACCAACATTTTCAGTTGGCAGATCTTCACTAGCAAATGTGATAATTGGGCTTTTGTCATTCAAAGGTATTTCTATTTGATGTTCTACACCGACAATTATACGTTCGAGTGGCTTTGGGGTTTCAAAAATGGGTGAAGCATTCGTTGGAGTTGTGCTCTCATCACAACTTGTAGGTTGTGTGGTCTTTGTAAGTAGTTCGGTTGCATCGATAGAGGCGCGTTTCGTTGGTGTGGGCTTAATTTCACGTTTATGTGGCACAGGTGGCTTGTTTGTTGCAATCTTCAACTCTTCCTGTTTGACATTGTCTGCTTTTTCTATAACCAATTTTAATGCACGGGGTAAAGGTTTTGTAACTTCTTCAATTTTAATAATTTCAGTCACTTTTGTTGTGTTTTGCATTTCTGGTTGGTCAATTTCATTTATTTTATTTATATTTACTTTTGAATTTTCATTTTTATTAATATTTGTGCCTTTAATTATATTTTTGTGCAACAAATAGAAAGGTTCACTATCCATTAGAGTAGGAGTTGTAGGAGGCGTTGCTGTGGGTTCAATAATTGGCACTGTTTCATTTTCAGTGAATTGTTTTTGTAAAGTTTCCTTTTCGTTATCATTGAAACTACGTTCGCTTTTCAAGAAGTCAGCAGTTGTCTCTGTTTTTGTTGGACTTTCAATCTTAATTTCTTCTTTCTTCACATCGTCTACTACATTCACAGAACTTTCTTCGTATGCACTCAAATCAAAGCCAGCTTCATCATCCACACGTACATCATCTTGAAATAGTTTTTCAGCTTCTTTACGCACTTTTTGGTAGCTATCAATTAGCTTTTGTGCTTCTTGTTCCAAACGTTTTTCATCTTCAGTTTTTCTTAATAATTTAACACCTTTCTTTGGTATTTCTTTCGTTGTTTCTGCACGTTTAGTAGTTTGCTTCTCATCATTTTTAGCAACTGTTATAGTCTCACTTACTTCTCTTAGTAAACTGGGTTCCATACTAACATCATTATCAAATACACTTTCTTGATTCTTCCTCGGACTCAATATTTCTTCCACATCTTCGTACGTGTCCTGCACTTTGTGCTCACATTCTGTGTACTCCACACCACCATCTGCAGTCTTTTGCAATTGTTTACCACTTTCCGATAAATTCAAAATACCCCTAGCAATACTTTGCATATCTCGTGGATTCTCAGCTAATTCCGATATACGTGTTTCCGCTGTAGCGGTGACGGTCATCGGTTTATTCTCATCGTTGGCTGCAAATTCAGTCGTTAACTCATCCAAACTGTCCTTGCTGTGAATTTTCTTAAGTTTAGCGTGTTCTTTGTGAGTTTCTGTGCTGGTTTGTAATTTCTCCTCACCATCAGCATCTCGAGTGCGCACCTCTGCGTAAGCCTTCTGATCGCTTTCAAATTGTCGCTCTTCAAGCACCGTTATTTTCGTGTTACCAGTGCGCTCCGCATATGGCTGCAAAGTGAATGCAATTGGTGCATGTGTGGGCGATTTGTTATTGTCTGCATTAATCTTAGTAGTTGCACCATTCAAAGCTGCCTTGAACTCAATAGGTAAGTCATCTAAGGCATCTATAATTTTGTCATCGATTATTTGTGAGTTAGTAGTTGAACTCGTCATCGAAGTCGATGACGAAGTTGTGCTCTTGATAATACGTTTTTTTGTTGTTGTAGTTTTTGTTGTTTTTATTTGTTCAGTGTTTTCTTTAGCCAGTGTCGACTCCTCGCTGGTGGTGGTCGTCGAACTGGAACTTGTTGTTGACTCAGTTGATTCAGTTGTGGTTTGTTCCACAGATTGACCTTCATCACTTATACTAACTGCTTGTGTGGTTTTCTTTTCTTTAGAATTTGTCGACTCCTCCAACTTCTCTGCCACTTGTTGTATTTGCGTGTTAGGTAAATTTTCGTTAGTAATTTCTAATTTATTTTCGCTTGGATTAGTCGATTTAACTTTATTATCTACTATAAGCTTTTTGTCATCAACAATATTTTGCATTGTAACTGTTTTTGTTGTTTCGTCAATCCGTGCCTGCTCAGATGCGTTATCATTAACACTGCCGGCGGTTGTTATCTTATCAGCAACGTTGTTAATATTTTGGCTGGCATTATCATTGACCACATTTTCGCTTTTAATTTCAACTGCAGTTTTTACTGCTGACACTAATTTTTCTTCAACATTTTCGTTGGTTTCTTCTGCTGTGCTTTCATTTGAGTCAGTATTTTTGTTGGTGACATTTTCTTCAGTCTCCATTTTAGGTACTGTTGGTGGTAAGACTTGTACTCCGATGAAATGTGGTTTCTTAAATTTAATTTGATTTTGTGCTGCTACTGTTGCAGGTTTTACTGAGTTATTCTCCTTACTGTTCACCGTGGACTTCTCTTCTTCAGCTGTACTTGTTGCTTTCTGCTGGCTTAGATCGTTAACAATAACAATGGGGCTATAAAGAAAATATTAAAATTTCATTTAAAATTTGCCTTGCATAATAATAATTAATATCTTTTATCTATATACTGTGTACTATAGTCGACAACAAACGGAAATTATTGTTTTTACCTTTACCACCCCAAACTAAAATTTGTACTAATTAACGTTTTCCATATTTATGAATTCATTTCACCTGTTGGCTTATCAATTTCAACGTTTATGCAAACGCTGAAAGTCGATAGCTGTGGGTACCTTTGCAAATATACATAATATTTTTTTTGTAGTTCTTTTCAACAAAAATATTTCACGCTTATTTAGGGTTCCTTTGCCACAATATATTTTACTTTGTTTATAAACAATTACCAAAAAATTTAAATTTATTAGTGGTAATGTATCAGAATGTTGTCGAAGGGTATGAAAGAGATCTACTATGCCATCAAAATAAAATTGCAAATAAATAATGACAATTAAAGAAGAACAGACATCGTTTTTCAACAATAATTGAGATAAAGACGATGTCATAGTGTAAACTTAAGACCATATCAAGAAAGGCGTAGGACCACTGCAGAATATCAAAATGTCACTACTTCAAACAGGATAGAATTAAATTAAAAAATAAGCTATTAATTAATAAGCTATTCTTAAAGTAAATGTTAATACACTGCTTTTACTTTAATATGACGCACAAAATTAAATTATTATTTCTGGACGATTATTATAGAACTACGAATATTTTAAATGTATTTTGTAGTTTTTTCATTTTTGAAAGTACTCCTTAGAGAAGACTACATGAAGCACAATGTACTTCAGTTTTTTTTTTGAATCTGGTCAATCAAAGTGTAAACGTGGATTTTACCGCCCTCCATACAGATGCAATATTCTCTTCGAGAACAAGAATAACCCACAACAAAATTCTCAAAAGACCACCGCCTGTCAGAAAGAACGACATCTCCCCTGTACTGCGAGAACTGTCCTCGCTCAATTGATATTAAGATATACTCAAGTGCTAAACAGTTACTTGTCACACATACGTATATTCCTATTGTGTGTCTAAACTGCAGCTCCACCCCCAAAATGTTCCCTATCTGTTCTTTTGACCCACTGCACACACAAACCTCCGTCCAATCAACCCACCCCTTGAAGTGTCTAGGTTTCTCCATCTGGACTAAAATCAATTTATACCCCACGCATCTCTAATCCACTCTTTCTTCCTAATTTCCTCTCCCCATTACTTCCAACCAAGCATAACCTATTTATATTCTAACCCATATATTCATTTAGTAAATCCGTTCAGATATAATCTCCTTTTAGATCCTAGCGGGTTACAACAACAATCAAAGTAACATATGACTGGGTACTGCAATTTTTTTTTTTTCTAAGAGATAAAGTGATAACATAGAACCATTGAAAATACAACGTGATGAACTCAAATGGTATGGTTTAATATTTGAAATTAGAAGAAATTTTTCCAATTTCTTCCAATTATTCAATTATTCAATTCTTCCAATTATTCTTCCAATTATTAAAATTGGAAGAAATTGAGTTAATCCGATAGTAAACTAATAGTTATCTATACGGGTATATTACGGAATGAGCAGCAAATAAATTAAATTCGATATGATTCCGTTTAGTCTAAATCAAATATAAATGCAGGTAAACACAGCTCTAAATCATTGAATTCTATAGAAATTTAGAATAAAATAGCAACCTTAATCTTTAAACAATACCAAACTGTCTTATCTGAATTTAGGATGAAAAAATCTACACAGTTTTTGTGGTACTATATTCTGATTACAATTGACTAATAATAGATAGAAGAACGACGTAGTTAACTTTAGGAAAAAAGACCTTTAATAAGATGAAGAGTATTTTAGATAAATAAGAAGATAGAAATTATACAAATAGAAATATACTATACTCGTATGAGTGAGATAATTATTATTATACTGTATCTTTAGGGTTTTCGCCTATTATTATATTCTCAATTCTGTATTGGAATAATTCTTCATAATTGATATAGTGTTGTTTCAACAAAATCGCTACGCTTTGACTTACGAAATATTATTATAATTTATATATTTGTGTATAATTTTGTTGTATATAATCTTATCAAAAGTTTTTGTTGCCTTTCTCGTGCAGTCATTAGATTGTTGATATTTGGCACCTTGCTGTTTAAAGAGAATTCCGGTATTTACGATGTAATTACTTAGATAAGATTTATATCTGAGTTGAATGAATATCTTTTATTTACCAAATTTATTATTAGTTTACTTTGAGTTACAAGTTACAGTTGTTTTATTAGAATTGCAGATAGAAAGCGTCATAAAAGTGGAGTAAAAGAGATAAAATTTGGAAAAATTGAAAAGTGCCTTATCAACTGGTAGGCCTTTGATTACTAATTGCTAGCTAAAAGTTGTTATTATGTGATTCAAAATGTATTAATGATGGAAACTAATGGTTGCCAAATAGATAAAAATATATTAATTATTTTGAACATTTAAGTAATATCAATTCAAATGATTTGAAACCCTTTGAGTTTTACCGATAATAGAAGGACCGAAGAGGAACGCTTAATCTAACTTAACTAATATTGAAGTCATATTCAGATATTTTACACTCGCCCACACTTTATTTAAAAATCTTAGCGCTATAGTTAACAAACTTACCCATTTGTTAACGATTGTGGTTCCAGCGAAGAGAATTCTTCTTCAACTTCACCAATCGTAGGCAACATATTTGTATGCCAGTATAAGTTGAAATACGCCTCCGAGGGGCCAGGTCCATTTATTACCTCCGGTGGTCCCAATTTCTCACCGTCCTCACAGTCATAATCCTTTTCAGCGTCATTCTCATCATTAGTATCAGTATCCTCATCCTCACTGCTTGTACTTGAATAGTAGGTGGGTTGTGTATCGCTCACCTTGATACATTTACCCACTGCAGGCACGGAATCATCCGTTTCATCTTCGGTAACATCCTTGATATGTATCTTCACTGCTGAATTATTCATATATGTACTCTCAATATCTTTTCGTTCCAGGTTAGGACTATTTTTATGAACCAAATCGAATAAACTCGGCATTTTGGTCTCCTCATTACCATTTACATCAGTGAAAGGAGCCTTTAATTGTGATTCTTGTACTTTGCTTTCATATGTTTGTATTTTGAAACGTATTTCTCTATTAGCAGCAGTTGTGGGTGAAGGTGGTGTACCTGGTGTTGGTGTGCCAACCGGTGAAGTTTGTTTAGTATTTGTTTGTTTAAAGGTCTGCATAGTGGGTGGTGCTGTAGACGTCACTGTTGCAGTTGTTGCATTCTTATCTGTTATAGTAAGTGTAAAGGATGAGTTGCTGGTATTTGCAGTAGGACTGTTTGGTGTCTGTAATTTCGGGATATTAGTTTTACCCAAGGATTGTATACGCTCTGGTGGTTTTGGCTTAGGACCTTTCGTTTTTGCACTGACGCCACTACTCTGTGTGCTATTACTACTCAATGACTCTGTCGATGTAGACATTTGGCCACTGAAAATTGGTATTAGTGTACGTTCTGGACTCTTTAATTTCGATTCAGCCGATATGGTACGCTGTAAAGGCGTTTTGTTGATTGATGTTGGACTTGATTCTTTCGATTTACTACGGTATAGTCCGAGTTTAAGGTCTGTTTCGGATTTTTGTTTCTGCATAAGCATGCGTGGTATATTTGAAGGACTATTACTTAAGTTAGATTTTTTCTCCACTAGATTTTCTTGTTTTGACAAATTTTTCGGTGACAGTACTACGGGTATACGTGATTTTATAATGCCACTCTTGAGTGCATCCGCATTATACTTAATTTTACTGACATGTGTTTTGTTTTCCTTGTTATTCAAGTTTTCCATGGAACCTCTACTTTCTTGCTCCAAAAACATTGAAGTTTGCTGTTTTAAATTCTCTGTGTACAATGGCGATTTCAATTTTATTTCACTTTCAGTCTTTGAGCGCTCCATAACGCGCAGTGAATTCGGTGAAAATACTGTCGCTATTGCCTTAGGTATTTTAGTCAGAAATTCTTTAGTAGGTGTGGTTTCATTTGTTGGTGTCGTTGGAGTATTAGGTAATTTATGAGCATTACTTGTGTCTGGTACTTTTGGAGGTGCTACCTCAATGGGTAGTTTTGTTGGTGTGGTTATTTTACGCGGCAATGGTATGATGGAACGTTTCTTCGGTTCAATGCTAGATCCACCTACTGCAACTTGTCTTGGCTTTGGTGTCGGCAAATTAACGACCGGTGCCGCAGTTTTTTCATCGTTTCCTGATTTGAGTTCTACATTTTCATAAACATTTACTTTCTCAGTTTTAAATTCTACATTTTCGTAGTTATTTCCAGGAATCATATTTAGTTTTTTCACTTCTTCACCTCCCATAGATTTAGGATCGTCCATTTGATTGATAATGCAGTCTTTAAATTGTGTTGTGCTATCAACACTAAATTCTTCTTCCAACATTGTGAATGGCTTAAGTACTTTTGCCAAATCCGTTTTGTTTATTACATTTTGTGCATTTGGCAGCGATGCAAAGCTAGACAAATCTGATTCAGAAGAATAATTCGAGTTAATTGAAAACTTATCGATAACAGTAGATATCGTACTGGCAGTATCATCAGATTCTGACTCAGTTTTGATGGACTGTCCATCAGCAAACAGATTTATGTAATATTCTGCATCTGGCGGTGGTGTAAATGGTTTATCCACTGCATCTGTTGTGATTTTTAAACCATTCTCAATGATTTTGGCATCTTTCAAAGACTTTCTTTTAACCAATTTTCTTGGTGGCACTGGTGGTGGTGGAGGCGGACTACCTTTACTCTGTCCATTACTCATTATGGATGCGGTGCCATTGCTCATATGTTCTGTGCCATTTATATAATCCTCTTCAGTTTCAGGTTTCTGGCCATATCCATTTCTCACTTCAAGCTTAATGGCGACATTATCCTTCAAGCAGCGCACACACTCAATGCGTGTCATTTCACACACTTTATTGCCATCAATGCTGACAATTTCATCGCCCTCACGCAGTAAACCCCAGCTGGCTTCTACCTTCGATGCTGGGCTATCCTTGGCGCATGATTGTATAAATAATTTTTGAACTTTCTCTGTACTACGTGTACCACCTAAAATAAATTCAAATATAAAAAGAATTTCAGTTAAGTATTATTTTCTTTACTTGCCTTGAAATTTTAAACCAAAACCCAAGCGTTCGCCGGGCAAACGATATACGATCACAGTTTCCGTTAAAATTTGGTTTGTGTCTGTGATATAGTTGGAATGAGAGTTATTGGTTTGTGGCATGACGTTGTTATTATTGTTGATTGTTAAAACTGTTATAAATGAAGAATCTTCTGCGATCGAACTCTGCCTTTTCAACAATGGTCGGTTCTTTACTTTGCTTGCTGGTTCATCAACTGACACAACTGTTATATAGTCATCCATTGTGATTGTTGTTGTGTTGAGTTGGGTTTACTAATATTGGTGTGGTGAAATTTGTACATGAAGTGAGCAGTGATCTTCAAATTTTTAAGTTTATGTATGAAAAACGTTGTTGAAATATCATATAATTATTTCAACTATGCATCGCTTGGAGTGCTGCAAAGAAAAATATGAAGAATAATTATTAAACTTGAAGATATATTGGAATAGAATGATCATGCTAAGTAATATTGGAATTTTTAATATATTAAATAATCATTAAATAATTTAATAATTATTATAAATAACTAAATAAATATTTATTTAATACTAGCAAATAATTAATTCTGCAATGATTAAAGTTGTCGTTATAAAGTGTTATAAAATACAATAAATATAATAAGTTAATAAATATATTAATAAAAATAAATTATTTTTTTATTTTCTATTATTTATATCACTGTTCCTGTTTTATTAAAAAAACGTTCGTTTTCTACCGTTATCAGATAAAAATTATAATGGTGGCCAAAGCTCTCAAAGTACAACTTAACAACATTTGGGGATATATTAGAAAAAGTTTTATTAAATAGAGCTGTCTCCGCTTTTTAAATACAGCACTTGCTGACCTTACAAAAGAAGTGAATTCTTTTAAACATCTTCCAAGCGTTATTGGAGTGGTTTTAGTACACCGAGCTAAACGTTTTTCGCAAATTTATAACTTTTGTTATAGCATGGACTCGCCAAAATTTTTTGAGAGCATCACAATGGGCAATATATGCCTTCGAGTGGAAGTGCTGACAGCTGTCAGCACCCGCTTTTAAACATAACCCTATCCTACAACATGAACTCACCAACACACTTCAAAGTTCAAAAGCACTTGAGAGCAGAAAATTGAAAAAAAGACACAGAGATCTGCGAAAAGAGAACAATGCTTTGATATGCTATGTTTCTTGATATGGCAAATCAGATGACCAAATCACCGGACCTAGAAACTATATATTAATTTTCAAAATTCAGAACTAAAGTTTACTTCAAATAAAAAGGAGATACTGACGACGGAGTTGTTATTTTGAAGACCTTAGTGCATGCATTATTTAGAAAGATTTAAGTTTATTGAGTTTTAAAAAAAATGAAGTTTAAAAAGAAAGCATATCGAAATTAATTAATAAAAAACTAAAAATGTGTGTATTTATACCAAATAAGACTTCTGAAATAACATTCGTTGACCAAAAAAATATAAAATTTATTTCCTATGGAATTTCAGTCACCAGAAAAGATTAAATGCTCTTCTCTGAATTACTGGACTTTGTTCACAAAGCTTTAAAGGGCCGGTTTTGGCCGCAGTACCGTGAGTTAGGCGATTTCACGTCAAAAATTTGAATAATAATCGCAGCAATTAGAGAAGCCAGTCGGCAAATTGCAAGTCACATCGAGGACAGTTGTAGTGTTGCCATTGACAGCCAGGCAACAATCAAAGCCCTTGAATCTTTCACAAAAAAATCAAACATAGTAAAAGAATATAGAGAAGCAATTCACGAGCTAAATGGGTTGGTTGATATCACCCTCATCTGGGTTCTTGGACATAGGAACATCGAAGGGGACAAAAAAGCTGACAGTTTAGCCCAATCTGATGCTTCCCTGGATGTGTCTGTAGCGGTACCGATTTATATTTCCCTAGAGACCATTAAGAAAAGTAGTTTCCTCTACTTTCTGCAACTTGCCCATAACAGATGGAAAGCAGGTAAGTAACTTTCAGGTTAACATGGCCCACCTATAATAAAAATAGATCCTCGAAACTCGTTTAAAGTGACTTACTGCAGTTCTTTCTGGTCATTAGTGTGTAGGTAACCACGCAGAGAAACTGCGCATTCCCTGTAAATCTCACTGAAGAAATTTTGGAAACTAGCAGGAGAAATCGCAGGCATCCAGAAGGTATACGTTCTTAGCAAGATACTTTTTTGATAGTTTATCAGGCTGTTCATCGGTGAAGACAAAATACCTATTAAATTATCTAAATTCGGCAGGCTGGATTTAGTCTCTACTCGTCTATACTAGGGTTCTTACGAGGAATATGGTAGTAAAACGACGAAAAAACGCTAATTGAGGTACATGGAAGTTATCTAATGGCCTGCTACTACAACCAACCAACCTACTATAAAAGTTTGAAATTATATAACAAAAAATAATATATTGCTCTATATATTTTTATATGTAATAAATATATCATTAAATATAATATATAAACACTATATTTTTATATTTTAAAATTTATATGTTAATTTTAACAAATTTTTATATTTTACAACAAATATAAGAATTTATTATATCATATATATTTCAAATATATGTGTTAAGTGTATTTTATAAACCATTTATGCCTTCATATTCATTGCCATTAACGGTCGATAATGCACCGATATTTTCCATCTCATAAAAGTAAAGATAAATATTAACAAAAACCAAATTGCAAACTTTAATAAATGCCTCAATGGAACCAGCTGGGTTCAGTTGAACTTAAGCTCAATCTCATGGCAAACCACTGGAATCAATTACAGCAGCAGTAAGTCTTTGGTGCACACAAACTGTGTCAGACAATCACTTATATTGAATACATACCTACATATAGGAATTCAAAAATATATCTATATTAAAATATATTATGTATGTAAACGAATAAGAGTATATAAATAATAAAAAGATAAAAATTGAAAAGTATAAAAATGCTGTCATTTTTTAAAGCGCCAAGCTTGGTTTTAAGCCAAGCCATTGCAGTAGATATATTTTTATTTGAATAATTTCTTGCAACTGCAGTTAGTTTACTTCAGAGATATGAACAAATAATGACATAATTACCAACATAAACCAAAGAATGCCGTAAAAATTTAAATAAAAAATTAATTGCTGTAAATCGCAAACTACAACAAATTTTTGCATAAAAATTATTATGCACCAATCGACAAGTTCGACTATTTCGAATTAACAACAAACCGTTGACCCACCTATAAAGTCCGCGAAATTCAGCACAGTGGATTGAAGGCAAAGTTCATTTAAAATTATTGAGAAGAAATAAAAAAATAATATTTTTAATGAAATCTTTCTTATTGAAAAGAAAAATAACTTGAAATCTTTGAAATTTCTGCGATTTCCTTAGCTAACCCACTTGCCCCCTCAAAATAAGCGACCAAAATCAAATTCGTTTCGCTTATTTACTGAACGGTTAGTATTGAGAGCGGCTTGTCATTAATTGGACCCATAGGTTCCAGTTAACAAATTCATTTTCTGCAAGAAAAATCTTCAACTCTTTTTTTATTTTGTTACTGATTTTAATTTTATTTTTCTTTTCTTCTTTTTCTTCATTGATTTTTATTAAAAAAATATTATTTATTTATATTCCATAAAAGTTACAAGCCATGAAAAATGTGCTTAACGGTTACGAGTACAGGGGGAAGGTCTTATAAAGTGTACAGTGTACAGCGTACAGCGTATAGCTTTATCTCGCAACAAGTTTAAGCCTGGCTTAACATTGCTTGGACCAACATTAGATTGCCAATTTGGTATGTTTGGTATGCGGTCACCTGTAAAATTGAGCGTTGCGGAGCTGCTGCACTCGAAACGCGTTGGTACCGCCACGTTTCTTTGTTTGGTTTTCTGGCAAAAATTTTTGGTACCGTTGAGGTATTTTTCGTGTGAGACTCATGGCAAAATCCACAAATATTGGCAACGTGATTTTGCAACTTTCTTATAAGCAATTTCGGGTTTTAATAGAAACAAGTTTTCATATTTTGCCGTTTGCTGTTTGCCGTTTGCAGTTTGCAGTTTATTACTGAAGCGGTCCGTAATTACGGTGAATGCATATGGAAAAGCAGTCACAACAAACGTCATGACTCTATTTTACTCATATCTAAACGATTTTCTGTTCATTTAAATTATCTGGTTTGTAGGTGGCTTGAAACAACAGTTGAAGTCATTTAAAATGTTTATGAAGTTGAAAAGTGATTGTTAAGAGGCAGTCGCGCTAATGAAAGTAAATATGTCAAACATGAAATGAAAAGGAAACTTTAGATATTTATGGTATGTTTGGTATGTAGGCAATTATAATTGAAATTATATGATAGAAAATATATGTGTAGATAAAGTTATAGTACGTTTCCACTGCTTTGGTTCGACCAGTTTATGTAGTTAAGGTCGCTAATGAATTTTGATTAACCATACAAATCGCTTTTGTGCTCTTTAACTTAATTAAAAATAAATCAAGGGAAATTAGATCAAAAATGTCGAATGCAACCTTTAAAATTAAAATTTCCAAAAGGGAAATTAGCAAAAAATTAAAATATTTGTCATATGTTTTATATGTAGAATGCTCTGAAAAAGCAACTATTTAAAATATTTGTTTCTATTAATTGAATATATAATAAATATATATAAATGATTTAATAAAACCATTACATATATAATTTTTTTGTGTAATATATTATTAAGTGAAGTTTATTTAAACAAACAGAAGCTCTCTTAGAACTTTCAAAAAATTTTTAACACATAAAAGCTCCTTTCAAATGCAATAAGTAACTTATGTTCATGGAAACGACAAAATCTCAAAGTTACTTAAGTAACTTAGTAAGTAAGCAGTGGAAACATGTTATTAAGTGAAGTTTATTCATAGTGATGATAGCGATTATTAAGATAACGATGAGAATTCAAAAACTTAATAATAAATTGACTTGTAATTTAATTAATTTAGAGGAAAGTAACGCTATTTATTGTTTTTTAATAATTATTCATTTTTCGGATACATGACACATTATTTTCTGTACGCACCTATTCCTTTGTTCATGTTGTGAACAATTTCACAATAATTATGTATTATATAAACAAAATTAAATATCATCAACTTACAATTGAAATATAAACAAAAAGAAACACTCCAAGAACTTTTACAGAACTTTCTAACAGATGGAAGCTTTTTCACCCGCAGTAATCAACTTATGCCAATGGAAACGACCAAATCTTAATTTAATTAACAAAAACTATTTTAGCTGCAGTGGAAACATGGTATTGAATTATTTTTATTGTACAATTAATTTAAGGTCTAAATATAATTTCCTTTTATTAGCTGATGTAATTGAAGAATAAAATAAAATTTTATATAAAATAAAGAAGTATGTAAATACTGTTATAAG